GTGTTTGTTCCCATAATTTATTTGAATAAAAAATATTGGAGGAAAATCTTTAAAAATTGATTTATGTGTAAGACGTGTTTACAGTGCAAAAAGGTCAAACTAAATGCTCTGTAGCGCCAAAAGAAGCGCATTGACCCCATTTTTTGTTTTGATTTTTAATTAAATTATGTGTATAAATTCTAAAAATATACTTGATAAAAAATTCTCCTCACTTTTGATGGCAGGATCCAACCTCCTTAAACATTTATTTTTATAAAGTGAGATTCAAATGATTCGAGTTTCTGATGACAAAAACACAATAATTTGAGGTTTACTCAATCTGATTAAAATCAGATCCTTTGATCCGCTCCGGTAGATCGCTACACAAGGTGTAGCGATCTATGTGAGCGGATCAAAGGATCTGATTTTAATTAGATTGAGGTTTACTATGCCTTTAATTAGGGAATGTTTTTAAGTTTTGTGTGAATAATTGGTGTGTAAATCACACAGACTTGTCACATAGGCACATTTCATGAACCGCACTAGCGCTTCATGAAAAATATGCCTACGTGCAAGTCTGTGTGATTTACACACTAATAATTCACACTCAACTTATAAACATTCCTTATATTTACATTTTACATGTTTAAAAGCACCAAAAATATACTCAATGTTTGAATTTCTCATTGCCCTATATCGTCATATTTTTTATTAACGTCTCTGTAGTTCATTGTGACGTCACTTTAGCGCGAGTTTCCCCGTGCATATTTCTACGCGTGAGTATACACAAAAATGACATTCAAATCAATTTCACAGTTGGCTTAGTAGAAAGACATAGCAAATGTAAATATATAGTCTTGAACTTACTTTCTTTTCGTAGAATCATATAATTCTCTGCAGTTTACAGATTGAAGTAATTTTTATCTTAGTCATAGATTACAACTTTACACACTTGAAAAAGGTTAATACATATGCATGTCGCATACTCCCCATTAGTTCACACTATATCAAAAAATAAAAAAAATGAATAAATAAAAAAAAGAAAAAAGAAAACAAAGAAATACTTGTATGGTAACTTTGTCATATAAAGAAGATAGTGAACCATAAAGTTATATTTCCCTCTAAAAAAGAAGGCTGAGGAAATATAATGAAAAAATTATCTAAAATAGTCTTACGAATTTTTACCTGTAGCCCTTTCTACAATGTTTGTGGAAATTTAGGTATTGTTTACGTTCAAAAGAAATAAAACTGTTTATTGTCTCCATGCAAGTAATTTATAGAGCGGACCACAAACTGTTAAACAAAATATCCGAGACATCTGCATATATTACAAATAAACAACTGTGACATTACTCAGTATTTTACATGTTTTACAGACATCAGTTCCAAACCATTTTCAATATTTTACAAGTAAACAGCTGAGACATAATTCTGAAGTTTACTAATGTCATTCAAAGCTCAGTATTTTACCTATAAACACTTGAGGCATACTAAGTATATCTTTCCAATAACATTCAAAACATACTTATTTAACAAGTGAGCATGTGAAGCATAACACAGCACTTTACAGATACTCCAAAATATTCACGATACCATACTCTTTAAATCAATCAATTACACCCCTGATGCCCAGAACTTAACCTTGAACACGCATCTACGTATAGAAGCGTTTTGCCCAGAATAACTTCTATTGCGCAGAGCAGAACTACAACTGTCTCATCTAGTCTCTGGTTTTCTTTCTTTCTGTCTGTTTTATGATAACCATCTCGGAAGCTGCCTGGCTTCGTACCGTTTGAGTTTGTCACAGTGCATGACCTTGACTTCTCTAGGAGACTTAACTCTTAACTGCAAAGACGGCATCTGACTTCACCTCGACTATGATGTCTGAACCTTTCAAGACTAACTCAGCCTTCTTTCCCGCATTACGGCGCCAGTATACCTAATCTCCGACCTAGACCTTCAGATCATGTGCACTCTTCACTGTCTTCAGGACAGATTAGGAGATATATTCTGTCTGGCACGATCATGTGCTGTCTGAACATTTTGCTCCAGATCGCAAACATATCTGCTCACTACCTCACTTATCACTACATCACCCCTCCAAAATTTGGGGGAAAAGCCAAAGAAGGTTAACTAAACATCAAAGTCGCTGGGATATCGACTTCTCTTCCCAGATGAGTTGGTTTGGCGTGTATTCCGTGTATAGCTTTTTCACAGATTTAACATCTAAGCAACTCTCTTGTGTCATTAACAGCTCTAACATGCTATTCTTAAATCACTCCGACCAAGTAGATTCATATATGTCTTTTTATATTTGTCTCGCACTTCTCACTCGTTATTTAAAAATTTTATTTGAATATTTCTAATATGCATTTGTAGTGTAGATTTTGTTTTGCAATTCCGGCCACGTTTCACGAAATCCTCAATGATTACACATGAATTTGGTCATCCATACCTTTAAAACTAAAAAGAGAATTGAAAAGTAATCGAAATGAATTAACTTTATATAAATTATATATAAACAGGGTCTAATCCAGCACCAATATGACGTCCAATCCGGCGAAATCCAGCAAATTAACAGATTCAAATATATAAGCAGAAAATTTATAATCGAAGTATTTCTGTAATTGAACTGAACAACATACATGTATAATGCAAGGTGGGGGTACTTCAAATAATCCTTGTTAGCGACATTCCAGCTGCTGGATTTATAAATCTGATTGACTGATTGATTTTATGTTGTTTTACGTCCCATTCTAGAATTTTTCACTCAAAAAGAGACGTCATCATATATCGGTTTAAGGGCTTCAAATTTAGACCTTCACTTGGCATTCGGGGTCATTGAGCAGTGAGGATACTTTATCGTGCTAACGCCTACTGTTACAGGGGACCTCAGTTTTTAAGGTTTCATCCGAAAGACTTGTGACTTTTACTTCTAGTGCGCTTGTCGAAGGAACAATCATTATCTATATTTACATCTTAGGTTTGACGAGCCGCGGTGAACGAGAATCGAAAAAGGGCCTTCCGATCACGAAGCAAATGCCCTACAACTAGGTTTCTTTGACCGGTTTTATAAATCTGTAAAAATCTGAAAAAATAACCTCATCCCACTTCAATCTCAATGGAAAAAATTCTACTTTCAATTGATAAATTTCAAGTTTAAAATACGATATGAACAACTGCAATCCTTTATAGGAATACTCTGAAATCACAAATTTTCGTGGGGTTTAATTTTCGTTTTTTTCTTCTTCTAAGTTATGACGAGACTCACATATAAATGTCCACAACGAAATGTAATTTTTCAAGTATATTACTATTTAACAATTCTTCATTCCACGAAATGAAATCCCCACGAACCAATATATGTTTCTCCAACCACAAACATTTGACCCCTCGAAAATATATGATTTTACAGTAATTAATTTACCATAAATTGGACAATATCTTTGAAGCAATCTTGTCATACTTATTTAAAATGTAAATATTTACGTATGCACATTGTCACTAAACAATTGCTTAATTTCTATATGATTTAAAAAGCTAAGGAAATCCTAGGGGAGTCCCGACTCCATCCCCTACATTGGAAAATCCTCGGGAAGTACCGACACCACCCTCTACATCCCAAAATGCAGAAATCAGAATAAGGATGATCTCGAGAAAATAGCAAACATTTTACATGAATATCGGCATATTGATATGCAGTCTTAAATTGGTGATTCAGTTCTAGTCTAATTATTGAAGTTTTCTAAACCGTTTATCAAAGTGTATAAGGAAAATTACAAATTAAACGAATTGAAATGAACTGAAAGGAAAAAGAAACGCATGGTAAAGTTTTGTGATTTAATGTTATTTTATACCACGAATTTTCCAATAATATTATCTAACATTTAAGTTCATCTTAAATCAACCAGTATCCAAAATCTCTTCTGATTGGGATTGATAATTCATATTTCACTAAAAATCATATGACGGTACCCCCAAAAGTGAAAATCGAAAATTCTCATTATCTCCTATGGCTACCTCGCACATTTGTCAGCTTTGATTCTCCTTTGCAAAACATTCATCAGTGCATTTATCTTTCTCATATGGAAATTATTCAACCCTTCCGACAAGGCAGCCCTTAGTTGGTCGAGAGTACTAGCCTGGGCATTCAGACGCCTTTAAACCATACCTTCCAGGTGGTCCCACAGATGTTCGATTTGAGGAAAAGATGAATTGGACTTTATGGAGGTCATTAGATTGGGGTAAGGTGATTTTTTGCGAGAAAGTCTTAACAAACTCTTGCTACATAGGGCCGGGGTTAACATGCTGAAAAATTACACATATTTCGCACTCGTGAGTGTGCACTAGACGAACACCGACGTAAAGTTTACAAGCTTCCAAACAAAAATCGCACAATAGTTTTTTTTTAGTTTTTGGCCAATGTAACGATAATGATTGCCTACTGTATTAATACCGGTTTCAGTGAAAGTGTGGTGGTGATTAAACAAATGCCAGGATGAATAACCCAATTTTGACGTGGCGTTATCACGCGTCAACGTCATTGTAACGGTTGCTTGAAAAACCCTTCCTGTTCTTCTCTGAAGACGGATAAGACGTATTCTAGCGGAAAAATTCACAACAAATTGCGCAGCAACCTGCTGTTTTTTTCTTTACTTCGGCAATGCAACAGACATACCCAATGGAACTTTCCTCGGGCGTACCATGATTGCAAGCTAGAAAATTAAATTGTCTGTAAATATCAAAAAACGATATATATCTCTAGTGCATCAAGTGATATTACAAGATGCGTTTACAAACCCGTCATCATCAACATGCACGTGTTTCTAGCTTTTTACCCAGTTTTCTCTCATGACGTCATACATTTCACTGTTGAGTAATTTTGAAGACCGATTTTAATGCACAATAAGCAGGGCCAATTTTCATAATTTTCAGCCATGCGGTCAACAAATTTTTGCATATTATATTACCCTGCGTTTCTTTTTCCTTTCAGTCAAAAAGAAATTTTTAAAAATACTTACTCGATGTCAAATGTCTCACTTGTGAAATCAATCTCCAAAGATACGATTGAACTTTCCATTTCCCAACCATCTCGTTCACTAACAAGCATCACAAAACTTCTAGAAACACTGTTTATTTCTTGTGTTTTATCAATATCTTGATAAGGATAGTCCCTTTCAATTGTCCATTTCCCAAATATTTCTGAATCATTGGCCTGTTGGATTATACGTTTTCTTTTGTCTGTGACTTCTGTTCCTATATCACCAGTTGTGCAGTTCTGACATGGACCTTCTCCAATTTTCCATCCATTTAAGAAGAAAACTTTCACCTTGATAATTAGATTTAAGAAAAAAAAAATACTTGCAAAAAGAAAAAATACAATCAAAGGTACAATTGCAAGTGCTTTTTTTTATCATTTATGTATATCGTACAAAATATTACCTATTTTCGAATATATTTTTGGTTGTTTTCATTAATAGGATCTTTACACATTAATAGAAATGAACATGATCGTTTAAAAGTTGAAACGTGCTTTAATTGTAAAATTTTGCAAATGTGGAAAAGGGAAAATATAGAGTTATATAACATGTTTTTGCATCTGTTCGTACTTATATTATATAATTCTTTACCTTCAGATGACCAGAAGGCTCAACAATAGTTGTATATCTCATACATCCACCATAGATCCCAAGGACACCCTGAACCCCGGCAATTATTACAAGAAACAAGCCTAACATCCTCCTAGACAGCCATCAACTGTGTGTTAATAATTTGACTGTTAGTAAGAGACATTTGTATCAATAATTCATTTTTATAAACGAGGAATTAGAACGTATTATTTATGATTTTATAACTAGAATTACATTAACGATGTCATTGCCTTTGGTGTTTGGTGGAGAGGTTCTTTAAACCAGGAATTGATAAAAAATTCTAGTTTGAATTACTTATCTTCAATATTATTAATTTTGTGAAATTTTCAATGATATTTTGGAGGTGTGGTTCGTACAACTGCCAATTTAAACACTCAGAGAATTAGTTTTCGATATTATAATTTGCTTTATTCATATTATTTTTATAACCGTGTTAATAATTCCAATAATATCAAATAAAGCATTTATTCTGAGACGAATTGTTGCATAAATCATACATCCAAATTCTGTGGCATAATGAATTCGAATTGATAATTTTAATATTATAATGCCAAGTGTAGTGAGGTTATGTAAAAATTATATGATTCATTAGATAAAACCTTTTAAATGTTATTTCAGTGACTCTAATTTCCTCAAGGATTTTTAGTATACAGAACTTTTTTTTCAATCAAGTTATTGTAAAACAACCTTAATTGCTCATAGATCATATGACAGACTATTACATATTTCTTCCAGCCTAAACTCTAACTTTTTTGCACTTATGATGGCGATTCCGTTCCAAGTACCTTACATAAACCAAGCCTTACATAAACCAAGCGATTGTTCTACATGTAACGACTGAGACATAGATGTGGTTTCAGTGAAGGAAATGACATTTATGCACTTAAATTTTTAGTCTGAATCAGAATGTAAAATTCAATTCAACGACTTTTTAAAAATCCCAAATGTAATTGGAAACAACCTAATTCAGAGAATTTGTGTCCTCCGCTTAGGGAAAAAAGAAGAGCATGCGCAGTTCGGGAAGGGGGGGGGTCACACTGCCCCCATGTATTTGTAGAATTATCAAATGTATACATGTATATTGAAGCAAATTTTAAAAAAAAAATGCCAATATGGATATAAAGATTTGATTGCTTATTCTTTAATATGTGCATAGAAGATTCTTTTTAATATACTATATACAGAATATATATCAGACTGTAACAATGATTTTATGAGTTTGTACACGCCAGACATCATAACTTTTTTATTTCACATGTTGAATAGTATCATTTAGAAAATCAAAAAAAAAAACATTTAAAAAAAAGAGAATCGTCCGGAGATTTAACCCGGGCCTAGCGCTTGCTAAGGGGGCAACATACCACTAGACCTCGGAGGCACTTAATTATATAGCTAATTAATGCAAACATTAAGTCATATACAATGTTTATATTCACGTTTGATATTGTCAAAATTTTACACAATAAATGTTGTCTAATTTAGCCTTTACTAAACAGTTCTAATAGATGTAATTAGAATATAAAATCCGCCGACAACCTGTATTATACGTAATAACTCTCCACATGCCCCTGTGCTAAAAATAGTGCCAAGCGACTTTTAATACAATAAATACATAAAAAAAACGTGATGGGACACTTTGAGAGGGGCAAGAGAGGCTATAGGAGTTATGGTATAAAATTTCATTGCAAAAGCTCAAAAGCTTCTTGAGATATCGCCCAGAAACGAAAGTGTTACACACAGACGGAATGTATGAATTTATGACCTTTACCTTTAACCTTTTGACCTCAAAATAAATAGGGTTCTTCTTTAGGCCAAAGGGAGTTGCTAAGCAAAATTTCATTGCGAAAGCTCAAAGGGTTCTCGAGATATCGCGCGGAAACGAAAGTGTTACAGACAGACAGAAATACAGACAGACGGACGGACGGACGGACAGACAGACCCAAATTAGTATCCCCCACTTTCAGTGAAAGCGAGGGACAAAAATTTTATTTAATCAGTCATTGCCAAAAAAGTTGCTGATATTGAAATGTTATGATTATGCTTGAAGAATGCTTGGGTTGTTCCCAGGATAGTCAAATGGACGGATGATATATTTATAGCTAGAGAATTTGAAAGAGTGTCGGAATGACCGGTTAAAAACTTAGTCACACTAATGACACTAAAGCAACAGTATTTCTTATTATATAAATATGTACACATAAGTATTTTCAATGAAGTTGTGTGTAATAATAATCTTTTTTTTAATTAGGAATCGGCATTTTATACATGAATCAAGTTGATTTTAAAGACAAGTATGATTGATATGCATATGGAGGTTATAAGTCAGGAAGAATATAAGAATCCTCATACGTTTCTCAAGATCAAAAACTGTAATAACACACACACAGTGTGTAATATAGAATCATATCACAATATTTTATTTTGGACGCTTAGAGGAAGTGTTTAGGGTGCTTGAATAATGTACTAGTATCTTTAAGGATGTACATGTATAATACCCCCACAGAATGTTGTTTAATTGTCATTCAATTGTAATTGGACAGGAAGTTCCAAAAGTTACCTCCCTTTGGCTGCTCACAGCGAGGAGAAAGTTTCAACCAATCCTTTACAAAATCTATGATTTTCAAAAATGTTTGGTTTGCCTAGTTGTTAAATTTTGATGCGCCCTTCTCCCTTTTATGACTTTTAAAGATACAAATAAAATAAATTTGCTGTGGTACATATAAATATAAAAACAATTAAGGCGAACTTAAACAGGAAACCTACATGTATGGTCCATCTTATTTTGTGAATTCTAACTATGTGTATATATTTAATTGATGTGTTTCTTTAATGTGAAATATAAAAGGGAAAGATAAAGCTTTTCATCCGATTCTTTTTGAGGTCTTTAATTTATGTTTTAATTCCATTGACAATTTATCAAATGAAATCGTGATATTGTCACATAAATTGACTCGGGGGTATCTAGGGCCTTTGAAAATAAGGCAAGTATAAAATCAAAGACTCTACTTTTCAAACAATGTCGCAAAGATTTTTTTATTTGCACATAATTCCATTTACAATGAAATTTAAGCAGCAACCGAGTTATGGTCTTTATAATATTAGCAGTGTTAAGATATTTGATAGATAGAAGAATGGCAGTAAAACATTTAACATAGTAAGAAAATCTTTCATACTTTAAGAATTCACCTAGACTATAGTTGTACCAATTCCATTCATTGAACAGACATTGACAGACATCTGTCAAATATACTAAAACACATTATGCGACATTGTTTAAGCAGGGTTTTGTAATATTTTTTAAACAATGAATATACAAAAAGAATGTTTTCAAAGCATTTTTGTTAAAAAGTTTAGAAGGGGTTTACCTTTTTCTAGGTATTGTTTGTTTTCAATCTGTTCAACAAAGAAGCATTTCTTCACTGAACAATTTTACATGTATGAATGAACCACCACCATACCCTAACAAAAAAGTACTTTATTTTATATATAGTATATAGTTAACTATAGTAATTCAAAGTTATCAGTATAGTGTCAGAGTGATTACTTTAGTAAATCAAAGTGTCAAAGTTGTTACTTTAAATTAAAGTTTCAAAGTTATAATTATGGTTTATGAATGTGTTTAACATGATAACATTAGAAATATTAAATTTTAAATTTATTACTACAGTTTATAATTTTCTGTGATAGAAATTATTTAATTTCACAACATGGGTATTATCGAGTTTTGCAGATTCTCATTTTACGAAAGATATCTCTTGATGTCCTCTACTTCCAATAATTCCATGCACATAACATGCAAACCCTTTTATTTCAAATTTTATTTTTAGTTTGATACTTTTTTTTTTAATCTTTTGGTTTTCAATTACTTCTACTGGATAATATTTCTAAAATGATTATTGTTTGTCTTTCATTCCAATTTGGTCTTTTTTATATTAGTAAATAACATCATATAAATTTCATTAGGTCTATCAAGCAAGCCGTACACAAGCCCTAACAAAAATTTACTATAGTTCACTATATTTTGCTATAGTTAACTCAGGGTTCTCCATCATTTGAAATTTTACTGTGTTGCAGACTTAACGTGAACCACTAATATTCGCGGTATCTTCGCCATCAATTTCGCAACCGAACCACTATTCATTATACATGTAATTACAAAAGCATACACACACAAACAAGTTTTTTGAATTGATATTGTTGTATATACAATGTATATTTAACTTCACATTTTATACATGTTCTGAAGAGCAGAGGAAATTCTGGTTGATAAAATCGATCTACTTCCCCACTTAAAGAGTAAATTTGCCGTGATTTTTGTCAGTTGATCGAATTTACGAATTTAAAAAGAAACTTTAGAATAGTAAAATACTTTTACGGGTTGTCTTAAATCCTTCAACAATACATTTATACATCAAAGGAATCATTAAGGTACGATGTTTGACTCATAGTGCCAACATAATTTTAGGGTGAGGGATGGAGGGTCCACTTGGTTTGTCTTATAGTACATTGTATGTATATTATTATATGGAAAAAGTCTAATTGTTTTAAATATCCATTCCATTAAATTATTTTTATCAATATGTACTACCATACCATTTGTATAACGAATTGGTGATTCAAAAAACTTGTTTGTGTGTGTATGCTTTTGTAATTACATGTATAATGAATAGTGGTTCGGTTGCGAATTTGATAGCAAAGATACCGCGAATATTAGTGGTTCACGTTAAGTCTGCAACACAGTAAAATTTCAAATGATGGAGAACCCTGACTTCAGAATTTCAAAGTTTTTAAATTTATCACTTTAGTGTCATACTGATCACTATAGTGCATCAAAGTTTTCAATTATCACCATAGTAAATGAAAAAAGGTGAAGTTGACGAACAGTAATCGATCTCAAAAAAATCTATAAACAGTACGATTCTATGAAGAGGGCATAAAACATGGACCACTGGAAATTCCAGAGGTGGAATCAGGTGCCAAGGAGGAGAAACCATCCCTTGTTTGACCGGTCACATCCGCCGTGAACCCTGTTTATTGATTAGGTATACGGAACATTCCATAGTCAAATTCAGTATAAAAAAAAAGTC